TGCCTCCCACCCCCTTTCCCATTTCCAGGGGCCTGTTGTTCCTCCAGCTGGAAGCAGAGTCCCACTCCCATGTGTTTGGATTCCTCTCTTGCAGCTGGCAACCCTTCGCCCGCAGAGGACGGGAAAGACAAGGCGGCCGATGGGGCCAGAGGGCAAACCCTGCAGCCCTGCAAGGGCCAGCCTGATGGAGGGAGAGTCCAGGCAGGCCTGGTGGCTGGTCTGCTTTTGAAACATTTAGTCGTCCAGTGAAGCTCCTCCCTTCCTCTTGCCTTCCAAGGAAGGAAATGAGTTGCACAGACTCACCCTTTCGAGATCGCCATCTTCACTCCAGACTAGTCCCACTCAAGTGTCTCGCTTCTTCTTTATTAGAAAGACCCACCAGGGAAGGAGCTGCCAGAGGTATTCAAATATGTTGAACAGCAGCTGTGCAGTAGCCCTTAAACTGCACTTGTTATGTGACATTGAGTTGCCCATGACTTATGGTGACACCATGAATGCCCCAAACTGCTTTGCTCAGCTCTTGCAAACTCAAGACTGTGGTTTCCTTTAGGGAGTAAATCCATCTCGTATTCTGTCTTTTTCTTTTCCTGCTACATTTAACCTGTCCCAGCGTCATGGTCTGTCTCAAAAGAGGACAATCTTGGTTTCAACCTTTTTGCCTCCGAGAGCCAAGGCTAATGGGAGTTAATCAGCCTGAGAAACAGTATCCAGACCAAAGGCTCAAACGAAAAACTTTATTGAAAATAAAGGTAAGAAAAGTAAAGCCAAGAGAAGTTACATCTGGTAGCGTCAGAGGTGGTTTGGTTGCAAAATAACAAGACACGTTACACAAACAGGCTCTGTTCAAAGAACATTAAGTGAGACAAATAGCTCAAAAATTAATAAACAATTCCATTATGACAGCTTAATGCTGACATTCGATCCTTCAGATCCTTCTTTCCAGGGCCTGGTGGTTCTGCTGAGGTGTAACTCAAGTCCTCTCTCCTAGCCTTCTTCTGAATGGGAGTTGTCGTTGTCCATTCTAACTCTTTCCTCGCCCTCCTTCTGCCTTCTCCTAACCTCTCTCTCTTCAGAGAGCTCTCCTTTAACCTGCTCTGGCCTCTTTGTTCTTTGGGCATCAAGGATATTTTGGGTGTGGATTCAGGAACAGGAGTGGGAGCTGGGGATCCAAAGGTACCAATATGGTCTCCCCAGCCTATTGCCGCCAGCTCCCTTCCTTCCACTGTCCCTGGGCCAGATTGACATATCATCAAGAATGAGCCACCAGGGGTGCCAGCCTGGGATTTCATGGATCCCTTTGATGTCGGTTTTCTCCTTCCTTTCTCCTGGGAAACTAAAGTCAAATCAACCCCTTATCATTTATATAAGAAATCAAAATTGTATGAAGGAGTCACCATTTTGCAAGAATTAGACAAAATCAAACCTTTATACTCTCCAGGAGCAAAAGAGACGAATAGACAATGGTATATTAGGCATAGTAGAAGACAACATTATAACTTTCCCTCAGACAACTTGAGCAAATATCCCTATTTAAGGGATGCTTCTCCATCCACTGGAATAGCATTCTGTTGTTCCTGGTCAATGCAACCCCATTCACACCCACATCATCCCATGCTCATGATAAAACACGCAACATATTTGTGTGATTGAAATACCACACAAATATTGATTCAGTTTGTATTCTGAGGAGGAAGGTGGCCACGAGCATCTCTTGGGGGGAGATTTAGAAAAAGAGGAAGGAGATGCTCTTGACCCAAGCAGTCCTTCAGTTTCCCTCCGAGATCAGCTTGAATGTCTTAAGGGGAGATTGTGAGGGGGCCTCTTCCACCCACACGAAAGAAGGGGAAGAGGGTCTCCCCAGAGAAAGAGGCTCCAGAGAAGGTGTAGAGATGGGATCCCGTGTCAGCATCATGAAATGACACCTGCCCCCCTTCATAGTTCACGGACACCCGGATCCTCCTCAGTTTGTCACTCAAAGGAAGAGAAGTTTCAACAGAAAGGTCAGAGACCCTGTAGCCACCTGCCCAGCTCCTGAAAGCCCAGATCCCTTCTTCAATTTTACATTCAAGAGGGGCTTTCCTTTGTACGGACTTCCTGGCCACCCCCACAGCCCAATTTCCCCCTCTACCCACAGTGACTTCCCAGTAATGTCTGCCTGCAAAGAATCCCCCATATCCCAAGACAAAAAGTTTACTGTTGAATCTCTCAGGATTGTCAGGCAAACTTTGCTCTCTATCTCCGTATCTCACACTTTTGTGATCTTCAGACAAAAAGAGCCAGGGATGTGCTGTCTTTGGGTCCAGGGTGACATTTGCTGTTTGGGAACAAAGAGAGACAAAGAGCAGAAAAGAGAGAATGAGGTGTGGAGTGTGATGAATTTGGTTATGAATGGCTAGAAAGTGATTTACAGATGAGATATATGGTTATGAAGTTAGCCTGAAAGAATATATTTTGGTCTCTGTGTGTTTGAAAGTGGAAAATTCCAAAAGACAGTTTCTCTTCACAGCTTTGCTTCACAGAAACTGGTCAGGCTGACCTGTTATCTCGTTACCTAGTAACAGTGGCCTGGTACAGAGAGAGCAAAGACACAACATTCCAGGAGTTTGTAATAACATCTGTAGTCTTATGTGAAGCTGGGGCGGGACAAGTTACTTTTTTCCTTCCCCCTAATTGGTTGTTAACTGGAAGAAGAAGGGAGGAGTGAGTTCTTTCAGGCTAACTTCGTAACCACATATCTCATCTGTAAATCACTTTCTAGCCATTCATAACCAAATTCATCACATGTCACCACCAGGATTAACAAAATCCAGAACGATTAGCGTTCTTATTTTGATAACTACTTAAAGTAACTGTTGGTTATGAAAGGTAACTGCTAATGATTAACATGAATACATGTAAAATTGCACTTGTCTAGCAAAGCATTAAGGTAGAAACATACTAATAACTGTGGTGTGACTTGTGTCATTAACACACCATGCTAGGTTTGTACAAGCAGCCATTTTAATTTCCCTCAACACGTTGAATAATGACATTCTGTATAATATAATGAGTTGTTCTTTTATTCTGCTTTATTCTGCGCGAAGAGGCAGTGCTCACGTGTACAGAGGCATGCTCGGGCGCATGCATAAAGGGGAGGGGCGCTTCTTCAAAACACCAGTGTGATCACCTCACACCCTCATTAAAAGAAATGGCAGAGTTAAAACAAACTGCTGCAATGTATTTAATTTTTGCAGTATTGTATTAATATCTGACCTTTATGGAATGCACAAGGTTGTGTCAGAAGGGCAGAAACGCACAGGTACAAGTCATCGTGATGTCCTTAATCTGGCCGGCAAGCTTTTCTCTTGTGAAAGCTGTGGAATGTGCACGCTGGAAGGCCCGCAGTACAGAGAAATGCAAGAGTGGCATCAAACAGAGGCATGTCCATCTGCAGGGGGGCCTTAGAACCTTTCCTGCCTTCCTCCATACTCATCTGTCCCGTTGGCCGTTTCCATTCTCCAGCATATAGGATTTTTTGTTTCTGTCCATTCTTCACACACCCCTGCCCCCACACAAAGCAGGACATGCCTTAAAGCAGGGGTCTCAAACATGCGGCCCGGGGGCCATTTGTGCCCCCCCAGATGATAGTTTGTGGCCCTCGCCTTGCCTGCCCCCCCCAAGCGCCCACACATCTTCTGCTGTTAAGAGTAAAAAAAAGCCTTGCCTTGCTCGCTGGCTCTCTCCCAAGACAGCACCTGTTGCACCCTCCATCCAGAACTGCAGCCTGCCAGCCAGCCCACCTGTCTGCTGGCTAAGGAAACTCTTAGGCCGCTTCCTTGGGCTTTTGCTGCGCTTGGCGGAAAATCTGATACGGCCCAGGCTCACCCAGACTCTGCCTCCAGCAGCCCCCAGTTAAATTGAGTTTAAAACTCCTGGACTAGATAAATAGGTACCATATTGGTGGGAAGGTAACAGCGTTCCATGTCTAAGTTGCACTGGCCATGTGACCATGGAAACTGTCTTCGAATAAATGCTGGCTCTATGGCTTGGAAACAGGGATGAGCACCGCGCCATAGGGCCAGACACAACTGGACTAAATGTCAAGGGGAACTTTTACCTTTACCTTATGGAACAACTAATTAGTTCATAATTGGGAAAGGAGTACAACAAGGCTGTACATTGTTTCCCTGTTTACTTAACTTTTATGCAGAATACATCATGCGAAAGACAGGACTGGATGATTGCCAAGCTGGAATCAAGATTGGCAAAAGAAATATCAACAACCACAGATATGCAGATGATACCACTCTGACGGCAGAAAGTGAGGAGAAATTAAAGAACCTTGTAATGAGGGTGAAAGAGGAGAGTGCAAAAAACGGCCTGAAACTCACCATCAAAAAAACTAAGATCATGGCCACTTCTCTGGGGAGAAGGATGGCCAGGAGCATCTCTTGGGGGGAGATTTAGAAAAAAGGGAAGGAAACGCTCTTGACCAAGTACCAGTGGTGCCTCGTATAACAAGCACCCCGTTTAACGATGAATTCGCATAGTGATGGCTTTTTTGCCATCACTTTTGCGATTGCATTACGATGTTGCCTATGGGGAAAAATCGCTTTGTGATTTTTTCCCCATAGGCACCATTTTCCCCCAGCTGACCGGTGGGAGCCTCTGAAGGACCGCTCCCGCCGCTCAGCTGGGGGAAAATGCTGGCAGTGGCCTCGGAAGGACCCTTCGGAAGCGTCCTTCCGAGGCCACCGCAGGTATTCCCCTTCGGAGGGGGCATTTTCCCCAAGCTGAGTGGGAGCCCCGCAGCTCAGCTGGGGGAAAATGTCGGCAGTGGGCGGCAGCCTCAGAAGGACCCCGAAGTCACCGCCGACCGCCGACATTTGCCTTCCGAGCTCTCAAAGGGCCCCCCTTCGACATT